AAATGAACGCACAAATGCAAAAAAAGAAAAAATATTGAGGCGTAATTTAAAATTGTCGTTTTTTGTAGGCGAGGGTTTTATGAAAATATGATTCATAAAATATAAAATGAAGATATTCTAAATAATACTACGAATTATTAAAAATACAACCCTTTATAAATATGTATAATCTACGCACTATGGGTATTACGCTGTGTAAAAAATTGTCAGAGCCCTAGATACTATCGGAAACCCCACAGCCAAAAGGGAGAAAAGAAAATCATTTTTATGTAAAACTCCTTTTTGCCATTAAGTTTTATATTTTACCAAATGCATGAGCATACATGTTCGTTTCTATTTTAAAAATACATTTCCCTTAATCTATATTTTTAATCCTTTGACTATATATATTTTGCATAGCATTTCCATCTTTCTTTGGTGTTTCTTGTCTAACAAAGCCATTTTACATGTTTTTTTCTATTTGTATAATAAATCATCTATTGATTGATACGCACAATGTTTTATTTTTATTTCTATAAAAAATGAAAAACATTTTATTTTTCCAAAGGCAAAGCTACAAAAACATTAGGTTTTGTTGTTGTTGGCTTTGTTCGTTTTCCCCAATGGTAATAGTAAACTGCTTTCAAGATTGCACATTCGAATAAATAAACTATGAGATGATAAATTGCGTTCTGCTTTGAAAGGTCATATAATATGCAAATGCAGTGCTGTGCAGAAAGAAAAGTTTTTTTCTTTGAAAGCAACCACATCGATTCAGGTGAATTTTTCATTTCACATTTTTTCCATTTTTTATGAAAACAAAGTTTTTTTCTCTCGGTATTACAGCAACATCAATAGATAGTAACAAGTTGTATCTTCATATGTGTGTTTGTATGGATGCTGTTTTTTTTTGTATTTGTGTAAACAAATACATACATAAAATAAAGTTTAAAAGTTGTTTTTTGTGTGAAAAACAACAATTTTAAACCAGAATCATTGATATTCTGACTCACAAATATAAATAAATAAACAGATGCAATATTCCGAGTATATATGTAAATATTTTTTGATGAAGGGAACAACATTTTATTAAGGGTCCCTATAATAAAAAATATATATTTCCAGTGTTTAGTTTAAATTACTATATACATATATCTAGATTCATAAAAAATATATACATTTTTTGACATTATATGTTCATACCCTATTTGTTCATACCCAATCTAATGAGGGTGCATATGTTTTGTCCCGATAAACTTCTGTCTGATTGGTGCGAAGTGAGAACCCGATTTGCTCTAAACTTTACACACCCAAATATTCCTCTTAAACACAAATCATGTCGGTCCAACCCCACAATATGATAGGAATGGAGTACAAGATTTTATTTAAATATACTGTATATTCGATCGTTTTATATACATCATATACCTCTGCAATCATTATCACAACCTGTCGAAATTCTCCTCAACGTTAAATAAAGCTGAACTCTTGATATTCAATTGTCCAATGCGATCGACATAATTCCTATATCATATTTACACCCTCAGCCTTATGGCCTCATCGAATTATTGGATTTATATTTCACGTTGGATTTGAAAAGAATTTGGTCGTGTCACATACAATTTGGAGTCGATTTACAAAAGTCTGTTTGTCTAGCTGGCTGGAGCGCTCAGTAGCTCTTGAAAGGCGCAACCGATTTCATCCAAACTTTGCACATCGTAATATTTTTTCCATGCTTAAATCAAGTTCAAAGATGTCTGATATCTCCCCAACAAAATGGTCAATACTTTGCTGAAAATTAATGTTATAATATCATGTGTGTATTCAGTATTCAGGTCCGAAGACCAATGGTACCCTCCTCCCACAAAAAGGGCCAACATTTTAAAAAACTTGTAAATTTCATTTCCCACAATTCGTTTACTCCAGATTTGATACATAGCATATTTATACTAAACATAGATTTAATGCAATTATCGGTTATATACTGTCGTCTTCCAGTCTATGGCATTCAGGAGTAAATATATACGCTAAAGAATGCAAATTTTGATATTTTTCACATAATAGTCTGTGCCCATTTGACCCGCTAAATATACACCGATTATCATGAAATGAAATATTGTTGTTGGTTAGGTCCCTTTCTATGTGTAAGATGTTGTGATGTTCGGTGCACAATTTTGTCCTCTAGAGCGACAAGAAAAACCTACAAAAATAAACTTTTTGTCTTTTTCATCTCCTACAAATTAACCGATCATTACAAATAGGGGCCTTCACTGGCCCAAAAAGGACGTACACCTAAAATTTCGTGATGAAAAATTTCGTGACATGTCTAGATCGACTCAGCTAGTCTCAGAAACTCGAGGTATAACGATCAGTATACCAAAAGAGTCTAGGGCCAATACTTTGCAGGGGCACACAAAACAACAATACCCTGACAACATTGTTTTGTAGGGTACAAATCTAATTCCGTAGATCTCCGCTATCCATAGTCTGAGGGTGTATCTATTGTTTATTTGTTTGAGTAGAAACTGGAAATGCACGAAGTTTCGGAGATAATTTCTTTGTACCAAAAAATTATACAAATTATAACAAATCCAGAATCAGAAAAAATCACTACTATTATGGTTTTATCCTCCACAAGTACACACTGTTTTTTGTTGGATCCCCCAAAAGACAAGAACATATGGCAAAAATCGTCAAGAACACATCTAGCCTGAACACTGGACAATAAATAGTCTCACAAATAGAAGGTGTAACTTTCGAAAAGGTCAAGCATTTTTAATTACTTTTTTACAGAGATCTTATTTTGGTGTTGGCAACACTTGGGTACCTAAAACCACCATAAAGAAACCCATGGTAAGATCAGGAGTGTCGTAATGCTACTGATGTGAAAAACGCAACATATGGGGCAACCATGCAGACAGTGGCAACACGTGATGCGATGGAGAATTATCGGGAGAAATAGAGACAGGATAAACGTATTTTCAGAAAAAAGAAGAAAAGCGTGAGCGCGAGAAAATTGAGATGTATAGGAGTCATAATGAAGACAGGAAATTTTACCAAACCGAAGGCTTTGGTGCAGACACATCCTCCTGTGGAGATACAGATGGAAACCTGGTGTTGAGGATCTTGAAGGAACGTTTTGCAAAGCTTCTGGTATCAAACAGTGGTTGTGAAGAATCAATAAGAGATGATGGTATAGATTGTAAACCACCAACACAGATGAGGTCAGATAAGCAATCAGTCGAACTATTCAAGAATTTGGCCACCGGTCTTGAATAGTTCGACTGGTCAGGAGCATGCACCAGCTGATAAGTACAATTTGGCTGAAGGAATACATGTCCAATCATTGGAACCTCAGAATCCTGTGTCCCGTGGCACAATGCGATTTGTGACAATTATAGAGGAATAATTCTCCTTCCCGTTACATATAAAGTGCTATCCAGCGTGTCATTATTGGACCATACCAATGCCGATTCAGGCTTGGCAAATCCACCATTTACCAGGTCCTGGAAAAAACTCACGAAAAACACATCGACACATTCCACCAATTCGTCGAATATAGAGCCTCATTCGACAGCCCTTTCCATTCAGAGGTATCAAAAGCCATGTCTACGTTTGCAAAATTAATACGGGTATGCAGGATAACTTTAATTGCTGATCTTGTGCCACTCAAAAATTAATACGGCTATGCTGGATAACTTTGAGTGGCACAAGATCAGCAGTTAAAGTCGGAAAGGATCGTCAATACCGAACGAGGACTCGGACAAAAGCACAGTTTGTCCTGTGATCTTTTTAACATCTTACTGAAAAAGGTCATAAGAGTATACTTTGTACACCAAGCAGCATATGCTACTCGCCTACGACATCGACATAATGGACAAATTGAGGAGTCTGACAAAGTGGGTCTGGCAGTAAATGGCGAGAAGACCAAGCTGATGGTATCAATGCGCAAGACTTCCAGTAGATTCTGACCAACTGTGGAACTTGAGAACCACAGCTTCGAGGTAGTCAAAGATTTTATATACCTTAGTACCGCCATAAATAAAACTTATGACATCAGTTTGAAATTCGGAGAAGGATTGTGTTGGCCAACAGACCAGACCAAACTCACAATCTGATACTACCCTAATGTTGTATGAATCTGAAGCATGGGTGCTTGCGCAAGCATATGAGATAGTCTTGAAGTGTTTGAGATCTGCGTCGACGGTGAATATCGCCGACGAATGAACCATGAGCCGTACCATCAATTCTCTAACATCGACATTGTCAGACATTGGCTAGGCCAAAAGGCATATAAAAGCAAACCATCTTATGTTTCACACAGAAGGGGAAGGACACGAATTAGATGGAAAGATCAAGTGGAAGGCAACATTGCCGAACATGGTCTTTCAAATTATAAGAACTGCGCAAAAGACCGACGCGCCTGGATTTTTTTATGCTCGACTTATGGAACAAATGTTGTCACAAGCCAGCTAAATAAGTAAGTTCAATGTGGCACATTTTTTATCTATTCATGTGTTTATACCCTTTTTATTCATACGGTTGAGTTTTTATAAGCCATTCCGATGCCTCTCTGAAATTCCAGATTTTTCATTAAAAATATATATCTATCAATCCCACAAGAAAAGCCATTCCTCATCTAAAACAAATATTAAATAAAACATATTATGAAATTTTACTTGTCCAACATCGACGGAAATAATTTATGCAAACATTGTTGTTCTTTTGAAATAAATTGTTTTCAAATAAGCAATTTTCTCAATTTAGCAAAAATATGCGGCAAATAACGTAACAAAGTTTTCAAATGAAATTCTGTTTGTCTATCGCTTCAATGTGTATGTGTGTTGGTTCGTTCATGTTGCAAGTTAATATTATAAAAATGTTGAAGTTATTACACTTTCCCGGGCAAGTTCTGCGCGAATTGTGTCAAACAAGACTGAAAAGATATTCTGCATACGGATTACAGTCACAAACCCAGTTTTGAATGAAAAAAAGTGAAGTGAAACAAAAATGTTATTTACCTGCTTGTACGTGCACATTCCGACTCAATATAGTACCAACTTCATTGGTGGCACGACAGCGATACATGGTCTCATGTACATCGGAACGATAGTATTGTGCCAGAAATGGTGGAAAGTAAAGAGTTCCGTTGCCAGCTATTTTTCTGCAAAAAACAAGAACGAAGACGAAATGAAAAAAAATTACAAAATATATGAAATGGAATATTGACATAAATAGATAGATATGTAGATGCATATGTTGTGTTGTACTCGGCGAAGCGGTGTTGTTTACAATATGAAAAACTGCGCTATCTTCCAAAAAATATGTTTATGAACAGGTTTATTATTGACAAAATAAATATACTGAAAAAAGTTAATAAATATGGAAACCTTGTGAGAGTTAAATATTGCAGATATCCGCAGATTATTGATGTATTCATTTAAAAATAAAGAAATGTTTGGTAATTTTTCAATACGACATAATAACGTGGTTGGAAGTAGATGGCATGGGTAAATTAATGGTACATATTTAGTAGATATTTGCAGAAGTAAACATATGAAATATGTAATATATGGAGCAATATTTTTTTAAACGCCCCTTGTGCCACACAAGCAACGGAAATATTGGTTTTCATACCATCAGCCTTATGGCTAATGAAGTTATATACGTTTTGATACGATGAAAATGTGCCTGATCGAAATATTGGTTTCAGACCCCATGTTTCTTTCAGACAATGTGGAGTCGAATTACAATTGCCCGTCCTTCCAGACTATTTCTTCCAAACTTAGTTTAAATTCGAAAATTGGGAATATCGGTTCACTCCTTCTGGTAACTGCCCAACAAAATGGTAAAAATTGTGCTAAAAATCAGTTTCATAATATTATGCTAATAGACTATCTGATTTTGAACAGATTAAGTCAAGATCAAGTCCAAATATGGGCCTAATTGGTTCACTCCTTCTGGTACATCCCCATAAATAGTCAAAGTTTTCAATATTTATAAATCCAATATTCGTCCAATAAATCCAATAACGTCCGATTTAAACCAAACATTGCACAACTCATTATTTTTACGAAGTCTAGATCAAGTCCGAAGATGAGACTGATTTGTTCGCTCCTTTTGGTACTTCTCCCACAAAGGAGAATGGAACTTCAGATTTGAACCAAATTTTACACAGTATGTCCTCAACAAGCCTAGATCAAGTCCAGAGTTGGGACCCATTGGTCCACTTCTTCTGGTTCCTCCCCCCAAAATTTTTAAAGTGATCAATATTTATAAATACAATATCAGACCTATGGAATATCCGATTTGAAACAAACTTTGCACAACCTATTATCTTTACAAAGTCTAGATCAAATCTGAAGATGAGACCTCCTCCACATATGGTCAGCATTTCCAATATTTATAATATTTTATATTGGAATGTTCGCTTTGAACCAAACTTTATATAACCTATTATCTTTACCAAGTCTATATCAAGTCCGAAGATGGGACCCATTGGTCCACTCCTTCCGATACCTCCCTCACTGGCCTTACAAGGCAAAATTCAAATAACAACAAAAATTAATTCATCTGAGCACGGCTAGGGCTCGAACTTCGGTCCTCAGAGCAACACAAATGTTGCCAGACCACTTAACGTTCTGAGCCATCAACACACTTCCTAAAACGGTTGCTCAAAAACATGTGTACACCATGGAATCAATTGTAGGTGTGTCGATTAATTATCTATCGGTACAACAAAAATCTGCATTGAAAAGGACTGTTTCTCGAATGAAGACCAATGACGAACCTTGACAAATTTGAATTTAAGGGAACCCCCCCCCATTCTCGATTTTACTTTTTCAAGATTTTCAATGGGCTGGTAAATCAATACCAATACTTGTTAAGGTTTGTAACTTTGCACGTATATATTTGAAGATTTAAAAGAGAAGAAAAATAATTTACCAAAAAAAATTTGTAATTGTTTTGTTGTTGTTTTTTTTTTTTTTTTTTTGTAATTAAAATGATGTCCTTATTTTTGATGGCGGGCATGATAACTCCTCACTGGAACATCGGAATTCGATAATTCCAAAGGTGTTAGGAAGAGGACATGTCTGGATCTCGTATGAACTAGGATTATTGACTTCGCTCTAAAATTAACAAAATGGCGGACCTTTGAAAAAATATTTTTGGAATATCGCCGATTTTTGACCAAAAACCAAGTTAAAAAATAAGAAAGATCTTCATCGATTCACATTATCCTAGTTCATACGATAGCTATACACTCACAGAGTTATGGGTTATTAGTTTTTGAGTTATCGTATCCGCCATTCGCAAAAGAGAAAAACGCGTTTAAAGTTTGAGAAGCCCTTTAGCCGTCATTTGATGCTGACACAATAAATCGGCTATATATTCAAGAGTTATTGAGATTTTCACATGAAATTGTGTAGGGACATTCTTCAATTAGTGTAGATTCGAATTAAATCAAAAAAATTTTTGACCCCGAGAATAGGAGGCGTTCCCCTTAATTCGCATTTACAAGTTTCGCATCAGGGCGAAATAAATACAAGTTATTAACATACGAACTTTGTAAAGCCACATAGCCCAATATGCCTGATGAGCCGCTTAACCAACCGCGAAACGCGTCCCATAATGGTGGTTATGAGGGTTCTTCCCCTGGCATTCCTTTTCATTGCAAAATTTAGATCCTTAAGCTCGAAAGAGTATAAATAAGTCACTTAAAAATAAACGTATACATCTAATTCGAAGCGAATTGATCAACAATAAAACCGAAACCTCTGTGACAAAAAGCTAATAGCAAAATCTGTGTGTAATTCCGAAGACCATAGGCTGAGGGTATATATCTGTCGGCAACACCGACTAACACTTTTTTACTTGTTTTATGAGCCATGTTATCCGAAGATAGAATGCTGTCCTCCGCAACTTTGTGATTTGGTTATGAAAAATTTCATGAAAAGGATATGGGACTGTAAGCATACTAGTTAGTGGTGGTTCTGAGACAGTACACGAAACGCAACAAGAGGCACATCCCAAATTTGGAATGATTCGAACTAGTCTAAGTTGATACTAAAATCGCTTTCAACTGTGTGAGTCTCAAAAATGAAATGAAGCCAATGACAGGACAGTATATCCAACAAAACATTTAGTATCTCTGTTAAATTCTAATAGCAGTATGCTGAACTGAAATGAGTTGTCCATGCTCTGAAAAAATATTGTCCCAATTTACAGACATTCAGATTGGAAATTGGGTATGGAAACATCAACATTATATGGGCTATACCAAAACGTAAACCTATGTTGAAAATTTTCTTAGGAAGATTTGGCACCGCATAAGAAAATGAAAATGAACACGTATCCAATCTCCCAAAAGTGTCGAATAATAGGATGTACCATTATGTGGAACAACCCAAAATTTGGGCAAAATTTTATAATTCAGCTCAAAGAGAATCCAAAATATAAAATCAACAGAAGAACGGGCTGACAAACATGGCTATATCGATATGGAATTTAATTCTGATCAAGAATATGTATTATGGGGTCCGCGGGTTGTGTAAAATATCAAGTCAAGTCTTTTCGACTCAGTGCCTGGATAGGTTTTAATTTTTTTCCTATTCTCCAGGATATGGATCCAAGTATATTTATCCTATAGGATTGTATGCAGTCCTTAATAAACAAATGCCATTAAAACCATTCATTATACATTTAAACGTAATTTAACAAATTTATTTAAGTGCTCATTTAAAAAGAAAAAGACAAATACAAACAGATAATGTACTTAACGGTGGGGGAATAAGAAAGTCAACATCAAATGCATTCACTCCACCAACGACATTCCGCACACACACACTCACACTCGAAAGCAAACATATTTTGTTGCGTTCAAGAAAATGGAGTCATTAATTTTCCCCCAGACGTATGTGTGATGGAAGTTCCTGTGAATTGCATTCCACCAAACGTTAGCATCGACTGGGAGAGGCGGGCGAACAGGAAAAAAGTTTATTACCCTGCAGCAATGTTGTATTTGGAATAGAGATACACAACTGGTAACAGCATTAACATTTGAAATATTTGTTTAGTAGGGAAGAATGCATATTGAAAGTTCATAAAATGTCGAATGAAATTATCAATGATAATTATTTTATAATATATTTAATAAATTACACAAAAAAGTACCAAAAGAATGAAGGCATATTATTTTTTATTTTATTAATAATCATTTTCATTTCGTTACACCCTGTTATTTCAATGTCACATTGCTAGATAATATGTTCTAACATTTTGCAAAAATGTGTGCATGTATTTCAGCTTTAAAACTAAAGCGAATGCCAAATAATGTAGTCACGTATGTAAGTCCAAAATAAATTTGGCTTTGAGAAGTGAAATATTGAAAACTAATGAGTATTCATTCCACAATTACACTTAATGACCACAGAAGCTAAATACCACTTTATACGATCTAAAAATGTGTTCCATCTAAATAACCACCTTTTCTGATGTCACCCCAGAAACTGATCAAAAATAAGAATTGTATGCAAAAGTGAAGCCCGAATGGACCGACCCTACATTTACTTCTGCAAAGCAATTTCCCGACCCAGCAAGCAATTTATCATCCTCTAGTTTGGTAATGACAATAATTTTCAATTTAATTCCTATATATTAATATGTTATATCTCCAACTTAATTTATCAATTCAATTGATATCAATGTAGTCACTCTCATTTTATATGAGCCAGAACCGACCTTTCTAAAAAATCGTGATGAGAGAGTTCATTCATCCGGCCTTTTGAATAACACACACTACACTACGAGCCAGGAATCCAATTTTTTGGAAAAAAGTCCATTTCAGGTAGAGGAGAAAAAGCGTTACATACATTTTTTATAATTGTGGGTCGCGGGTCTGAATAAAATTTATATTTGAAAAATGTTATATAATCTTGAGATGTGTCAAAATATTTACATGAAATGACAGTCAATTAAAGAGATGGAACTGGTAATTAAAATGAAAGTGCAAATTTTAGTAATTAGAATATAACAATCAAAAATGTCATATATAAAACTAATAAATATATTTTTTCCAAAACATTTGACTTTTAGAATTTAGTGCCAAGCAGTGCAAGAGGATATTTGAATGGTTTTAACACCAATCGACGACTTAATAAACTT